GGCGTTCATCTGTCTGCAACACGAGCAGCTTGCTTATTCTTGGCGGTTTCAGGCGATTTCGACTCCTATCGATTCACCAACTCTTCTAAGTTAATTACCACCATTATATAACAATATTCTACACTTTTAAACGTGTAGAACTCATGGTTTAATCCACTATATGATTTCTTAAAAAATCATACACAATAAAACTAGTTAAAGAACAATAGTTTTGTTCTTACCTCTCCTTCTAGCTATTTCCTTTTGGGTTTTCCTTTCTCTTAGCTTCTCCAAGTTCTTGTTTGTGAGAGCTATCCCCTGGACCTTATCTCTCTATTCTCTCCTTCGTATGGTGTAAAATGAGGGAGGAGTCCATCTATTCTCAATCAACTTGGAGAATAATGCATGAATGAGACAATGAGGGGTGTGGCTATCGTCTCCAACCACCCTCTCATTCATAGTCCGCCAAACCCATGTCTATTTGTCTCAAAAATGTTTATTTTGAGACCTCAAGTTATGTAGGAAATTCTCAAGTGGGTGTAGGAAATTTCCCCCGATTATTATTGCTATTTCTGGCAAGTTGGGTCAAAATAGTACTTTGGTTTTCCAAACATTTTCCTCAACTTTAGATGACATTGTATTGGGCCTTTATAATTATTGTGATGACCCAAGTAATTATTTGGTAGTCCATTCTCAATAATATGGACCCGATAAATAATTTAATTAATCACACATTAATTAAATAAACCATTCTGTTGCACAATTTTATCCGCTAGGAAATTCAAATACATATTGAATTTTCAAATTCAAGTACATCCATTCGGGTGCCGTGTCACAAGACTTGTCGAATTATCAAAAGCCAAACTGAATGAATTTGACAGACTCTTCAAAGTCCTCAGAGCTATTGAGGAGCAACTCAACAAACGACGATCACCTTGTCAATATGAGCACGCTCTAGCACTGCGGAAGAACTATTACAAGAAGCAGAAATAAAGATAAACAAGACAACACTTGATCACAAAAGTAGAGATTGTTGAAGATATTTTTTACTGTGATCAATTTGTTAAAAACAGTCTTATTTAGTTAGCTATTTATGGTATTTATTTGTAATAAATAGATTAGCCTATTAAGGAAAAGGATCATTTATGTATAAGGCCCAATTCCCTAGGTTGGGCCCTTTTATGGGATGTTGGACATGCACCATACACATATAAATATGCGCTTAGGAGTGTGCAACCTAAGTTTTCACGCACATCTAGGTAGTCGCAAATAGCCTTTTCGATATATTGAAAGAGAGAATTTCTTCTATTCGAAATCTTCAAGATCATTATATTGAAACTTCTCTCAATCATTATTTCTTATATGTGCATCCATAGTTGTTAGATAATCTCTTAAAACAGGGACCAACATGATTTTATGATGAATTAAAACATTTCAATAGCTACAAGGGTATATTAGTCCAAACACATAATATAGTCCTATTTTAATTATTGACTACCTTTTACTCATATTTAATTAGGTAATTGACCCTTTTATTATCATACATCTTACATTCTCTTCAAAATTATTTCGGCCAACTATATTCAATCCTCTCCAATAATAATTCATGCATGGAAAATAAAATTAAACAACAGGCCCTTATGAAGAAGACACGTGGCAGAGAGACCTGGAATTGCTTACTTGGGGTGGTAAAAACAGGTGGCGATAGTGGATACATCGCCTTCCACATGGCGCGGTGTGGTGGAGGGAATAGACACGTGTACTTTCCAAGGGAGCTAAGAGCATCTTTAATGGGCATGTGGATTGTACCCTTTTAAAAATGGACATGTCACTTGTATAGAAAGCCCATGGATCTGATGTGGACTTGTAAACTTTTAAACTATTTTTTACGTTCCATTGCTACAATGGATTTGAAGACTTCGTTTCCTATACATGGACTACTTCATATAACTAAAAAACTGCCTCACATATTTTTCTTCTACCATTCTCCAGGGAGGCATAATCTAAAAAACAGTTCACGTCATTTATTTATACAGCCGCAGGTTAGCTATGTATTCCTATCTCTAGTGACATATTTTTCACTTTTTTAATTGTATTTAAAACATTAAATTGAAGCCAGAGCAGATTGTTATGCATACAAAGCCATAGCCCTAATCTCTAGTCTGTTTTTCACAGTAGCTTAATCTCTCTGTTCTCTTTACGTTCCTCCGTACACACACACATATATGCATATATATGCCCTGCACGTTTATAATTTATATGGAAGTGGGTGTAAATGATTTTTATTGATTATCTATACAAGTCATAAGCATGCTCCATTGATTCTTTTAAAAATAGTGTAGTTCTTAGGAGATTAAAATATTACTCCGTATTGATTTAAAGCACTATAATATTAAGCAATTATATTCAACCTTATACTTTTGTGATAAATATATTACAGGTGATATAATATAGTAATGTCTTCTTCAGAGTCGGACGTTGATAGTGATAACTCATCATCTGACGGTGATGCGTTCTCATTGACGAATAAACTATTAGAGGAAGCATCAAAAGAAGCTGATAGTTGTTCAAAAATGACTCGTGAGTTGATTCATGGCACCACCATTCATGCTTCTGTAATAGTTTCAGCATTGTTAAGAGGCAAGAAGTTTGCTAATGGAGGAACAACAAGTAGCAGGCGTTATATTCATCGCGATAGAAAGGAGCGTCATGAGATGATTATTAAAGACTATTTTAGTGGTGATCAATCAAAGTATACAGCAGATCATTTTCGCAGAAGATTCCGAATGGATGTGGAACTATTTACTCGCATTTTGGTTGCAATCGAAAAGAGTGATAGTTACTTCTCCATAAGATTTGATGCCACGGGAAAAGAAGGATTAAGTCCTTTACAGAAAACGATAGCTGCAGTGCGGATGCTTGCTTACGGTTGTCCAGCTGATCTTCTGGATGAATATGTTCAAATTGGGGAGAGCACTGCAATTCAAAGCCTTAAGCATTTCTGTGATGCTGTGATAAGTGTTTTTGAAAAAGAGTATTTGAGAAAGCCAAACAAAAAAGATATTTTGGTCCTTCTTCAAGAAGCAGAAGAAAGAGGTTTTCCTGGTATGCTAGGGAGTCTTGATTGTATGCACTGGCATTGGAAGAATTGTCCAACCGCTTGGCATGGTACGCACACAAATGGTTTTAAACGAGTCCCAACTCTCATATTAGAGATTGTTGCTTCAAGGAATTTGTGGATTTGGCATGCATTCTTTGGTATGGCTGGTACTAATAATGACATAACCGTATTAGATAGATCTCCACTATTTGATGATATTATAAATGGTGTTACACCACCATGTAACTATGTAGTGCAAGGTCATCATTATGAAATGGGGTATTATCTGACTGATGGAATTTATCCACAATATGCTACGTTAATGCAGTCTATCTCGCAACCATCTTCTCTTAAAGAGAAAATATTTTCTCAACGCCAAGAATCTATAAGGAAGGATGTGGAGCGTGGTTTTGGAGTTTTGCAAAGTAGATGGCATATTGTTAAAGGTCCCGCACGTATGTGGAAGGAAAAAGACTTGGAGAAGATAATGAAAACTTGTATCATCTTGCATAATATGATCATTGAGAGTGAATGTAGTCAAGGAATGAATCCTGAAAATTGGCAACCTCTTGGAGATAGAAAGGGTTGAAAATGTGGAATTAGAGCGTGATTATAATTTTATTGTCTCTAGAATGATCGGAAGAATGAAACAAGTTCAAGACAAGAGAGTTCACAGGGACTTGAAATATGATCTCATCAATAATATATGGGAGCTATATGGTGGTCAACAAGCAAGCTGATATTAAAGTAGATATTTTAATAAGAAAGTCTTATAATAATCATTGAAGTTTATTTTTATTTCGATGAATGATGTTCTACTCTTAATCATTATTCTCAAAATTGTGTCAATTTTTTTAGAATTATTTATTTTTTGGATTGATTATTTACAATAAGTTAGCTCTAATTGTAATATTTTTTAATTTATTATTTCGAATTGTTGATTATTTAGACTTCTGATAAATCTTAATGGGGTCGTCGTGTTCTTCCAGGGTAATTCTTTTTTTCTATTCTGAAACTTCAGCTCTTAAGGGTAATTCATTAGCTTTTTTGTTAGTTAGTTGTATTTGTAATGTTTTTTAATTAATTATTTAACTTCTCTTTTCTTTCACCCAGTCTACAAAATTAACTCCAAAAACTTGGTAGCTAGCAGGGACTAAAAACTCATGGTATAAACATAGTCCTCTCTGTCCAACTCCCATCAATCTTAGAAAAGTATACTATTTATGTCTAATAATCCATAAATCAAAAGGTTTTCTAACAAATAAAAAAATGGCAGCAGGTCATTTACATCTATACGTGAGAACTTGCACTTGTTTTTTGTTTATATGTTGCATAGCTCTTTTTTTCTCTCTTTGACCATTATTACCACTCTCACAACAAGTCAGAAAGTTTGGAAAAAAGTTTCAAGTACCAAACAAATAACACCAAGCAAGTAACAGGCTGCAAAGTGTTTGGTGTTATTAATATCTATATCTACACAAAAAGAACGTGGCTTTAAAAATTTGGGATAAGAGAAAGCAAGATAAGCAATATGACCCCCCCCCCCCCCAACCCAGAAAAGGAAGAACATAAACACCCAAACAAACCTAAGGCAAGGTGTGCATACTTTCCCACCAACAATAATGCATTTAGTATTATGTTGTTTTCGGAATTCTGGCAAATTGTTCACATTTAGACCAAATATCAGAAGACATGCATATACCACTACAACTACAAGTGTCATACACTCATACTGTCAATGGTATGCACCGAAATGTTTATTTGCTTGGTGCAGGTCTTTGCTTAATGACTATGTTGGAGCCTCCCAAGAGACATGATTAACTTTTATTCAAAAAGTTCTGTATTGTAGTTGTTAGCCACGCAGTACAGTAATGGGCATAACTAGGTCCCTAAAAAACAAAAGTTTTCAAATAGAAGGATATGACAGTAAACCACCTGTCCATTGGATCAACTGATAACATCTCTCATAATATTAAGAATAAAACATAATGAAAGAATAAGTGAACACAATCAATATAAAATAGAAAAAGTCTAATGTCTCATGTCTATTACTCCACAAACCTAAAGTTTATCCAAACAATAAAAAAAATTGTTCCAAAATACCAAAGCAAACACAAATTCATAAAAAATAAATAACTAGTCTTAACACATAATGTTTCTAGTCTTCCAGCAAGTATTACTATTTATGGTCCTCAAGACTTGACCTTTTTCAACTGTAATTCACACCTGCCACACATAAAAGTACAATCAGTTTTTAAATAATTTATTTTTCATAACTATTATTAGTAAAAGTAAGTACAGAAAATGGTACAAAAACATTCAATTACCAAAAAGACCATACTTTTGCCATTCCTTTAAAATTTGAGCTTGATACATCTCAAATGTCTCTCTAATGCTTACGGGAAGTTTGGTGACATCTTGATTCAAAATACGCTCTTGTTCTAGTCTCTTTTGAGTTTTCTCCTTAAACTTTTGAGCAGCCTCTTTTAACTGTTGATCCTTCTCCTTTAACTGATGATCCTTCTCCTTCGATTTCTAAGCATGTTCTTTTAGCTCCAACTCTTTTTCCATTATCTTTTCTCGTAACTCAAAGTCTTTTAAGTCCTTTTCCCTTTTCATCTTCAGCTCTTCCTGACTAATACAAATTTGTTTTTCCATTGTAGTTTGTAACTTATTAAAAACATCAACTACAAATTTTTCATCATTCAACCTTCTCTTTTTTTCTTTAGTAGCCTTTCTTCCTTCAGGGCGTTCAATATCATTGCATTTACCATCAACATTACCATCTACATTAGTACACTTTTCACCTTCATTACCTGAACTCCCTGGTTGGGTTGGTGCTTGGGTATCACCACTTCCATTTATAGCTTTTTGCTTAGAGTTATCTTTGGTCCTAGTAATCTTCTTTACGCACCATTTTGAATTTGTTTTCATGATCTCCCAACAATGTTCATACTTGAAAGACTGACCATTATTGATATCTTCATACATGCGCATTGCCTCTCGCCTCTACAAATAAAAATTCAACTCTTGAGCATAGATAAGCACATTAACACACTCAAACATCACATGGGAAACAAAGCAAATTGTGATATTTAAAAGGAAATGAGAATAAAAATATAACAATGTACAGAAAGTAGTAGAAAGTAAAATTTACCATATCTTCTTGGCTTGCGCCACTCTTTGGCTGCCTTTGTAGTCGTTCATATAAAGCATGGAATTTATTCACTGCAGCTACGATCTTACCCCAACGAGCTTGTAAGCCATTTGTTGTGCGAGACTCATCATAAGTTCCCATATTCTCCCTCCAAACATGGAAGATACGATTCCACATATTAGCAATTTTTTGATTGTTACCAACATCAGCATCAACAGAAATATATAACCATGCCTTTGTTAGTGCTATATCTTCATCTTTGCTCCAGTTTTTGCTGCCTCCTACTATATGAGAGATACTCGTATTTTGCACGACCTTGTTACTTTTTGCTGGTGCTCTGCTCATTTTAGCAGCATGACTCTCCAATGGAATGTTGGAAGAGTTTGAAAGATCTTGAAAAGTAAATCCATACCCAAAGGGTGAGTGAGCACGAGGAAATGGAGGATGCATCATAATATTAGGATTAAAAGTCATGTTTGATGGACCGAATGGGTTAGGTGTGAACATTGGTGACTGTGAGTTAATCTGTGAAGCGCTGCCATGCTGAGAAGTGAGATCAGTCACTTCAGTTTCTTTCTGAATATGTTCATGGTAAGCAAATGGTTGCGATGTCGACTCCATCTGTGTACAAATCAATATTTCGATAAGACAAATAACCTAGCTATTTAAAGTCTAAAACTATCTTGATTTGTTTCCCAGGAAGTGATCCATAAAGTATTATAAATGGAACCAACTAACAAACTAGATAATTCAGTCCTTAATCCGCTAGTAATGCTGAAAAAATGGGTAAGGATTGAATTGAAGCTTTACTTTTGTTTCTAAAACATCATCAACATCGAACTTCATAATCTAACATATATTAGAGAGCTACCATAGTACCATTATCAAATTCTAGCTTTCTATATTTGCTTCACTTCAGGTTCCTCTTTACATTCATCAAGGTCGATTATGACTAACATTTCTCCTTTGAATTTCTATTTGATGGGGGCATCAGTAATCTAGTAATAAATCTAGTGGCAGTTATTATGTCTGTTGTAGTCTTGAGTGCTATCTCTAAACCTTTATATGTCACTTGAATTATAATCAGAGGTAATATTCTATTGCCTCTGGACAACATTGGTTTGTTAGCCCACACACATTGGTTTACACAAATGTGAGAAACTTTTACCAACCTAAAGATAGTACAAAATTAATTCTCATATACAAGAAACTAATTCTTGTTCTATTAGGACTCATCTCTAGCGTTAGTTTAGGGTGCTAGAGATTTGGGCTAAATTAGTTTCAAACTCATTGACAATAAAGAATTATTTTTTCGAAAAATACAAGTAAGTTGATCAATTTCACAAAAGACTTCTTGAATTTCATCTCAAACAACTGGTATTAAGAATTGAAGAAGTTTCCCATATCTAATTCAATATTCAAGAATAATAGAACATTCATTAACCTTAACTTATCCAAATTCAAATCTAGGAGATTTAGCACATCATATTCATATTCACATAAAAATAGTAACCAATCCATGACTCCATGAGTATAATTAAAATTGAAATTCGAATTAATAACCATTACGTGTAATTTGGGAGATATTTGAAAGAATTAAATTAACCAAAGAACAAGTTCATATATGATTATAAAAAAGAAATCAAGCATAAAATATTAAGGATAGAAATTGAAAAATGTTAAAAAGATAAACCGAAATGGTTGTCGGTCTTCTCCTTTTTTTTGCTGCCCTGTTTCTTCACCACTGCTGCGTTTCTTCTTCTTCTGCGGACTGCGAGGTTTTTTTGGATGTAAAACTGATGCGGAAAGCAGAAGTGATGCACAGAGCCGGTGAGGAGAGCAGATGCACAGATGATGCTGATAAGAAAGTATGGAAAAGGAATTTGAGGAGAATTTTTGAAGCTACAAATTTTGGATTTGGCGGAAATATTTTCACTTGCCCGCCAAGAAATTCCGCGGGTGATGATTTTTTGGGGCTGAGTCACGCTGTGGAGGAGGCTTGCTGAAAGTAGAAGGTCAGGTTGAGGGTGTGCGTTATTTTCAAAGCCAACTCAGCAACTCAGGGTTTACGCACATTCCCGCTGGAACAAGTAATTTTACCCTAAAATCTATTTAACTGATGTGGCAATGCATTTTTAAACAATTCATTCTCCCACTAAAGATGCTCTAAGTTATCGAGCCTCCATTCTGCCTCATCAGCGCGACAGCCACAAAAGGAAAAAAAGTACTTCCTCCATTCCTATTTTATCTTCCAATAGGTTTGACACACAATTTAAGATAGTGAGTATTGCATAGTGGAGAGTTATGTAGAAGAGATAGAAATGTGTAAGAAATGTTGTGAACCACAAATTCTTTACTAAAAAGAGTAAGTGGAAGTATTAATTGAAACGGACGAAAAAGGAAAGTTGGAAGTATTAACAAGGAACAAAGGTAGTATTAGGGATGGACTCGGGCCGGTCCGGTTCCGGTTCCGTGCCGGGCCTGAGCGGGCTTTTTTGCAAATCCTTGGGCCCGGAACCGGCCCGGGTTGATACAGGGTCCGGGCCTAACCGGGGCGGGCCGGGGTGGGGCGGGGCGGGCCGGGCCGGGCCCGGTTCAATGTTTGTTTTTTTTTTCTTTCTTGTTATCCCCCGACCCCCCCCCCCCCCCTCACCCCACCCCCAAACCTCCCCAAAACACCCAGCCCTACCCTAGTAAAAGAAAAAAATTGAAAAAACAAAAAAATGGACCCGGCCCTGGGCCGAACCGCCCAGGCCGGTTCGCCCAAAACTGGGCCCGAGCCCGGCGCGCCCGACCTGCCCAAACGTGCTAAAAGCCCGGAACCGGCAAACCGGTCCGGGCCCGGTCCGGGCCCGCACAGTAGCGGGCCGGGCCAGTTCCGGGCAGGGCCGGGCCGGGCCGGGCTGGTTTAGTCCATCCCTAGGTAGTATACACAGATGGACCGCCCCATTTTTGCTCTTTGCAATCCTGTACAGCCAATTGTCTGTCCTACGTGTAAAAATAATGGCCGTTAAGATGACTAGCTAACCGGAGGCGGCTCAACCCTTGGCCAGCTAGCTTAAGGCCTTGTATGGTTCAAAGTTGGGGAGGGAAGGAAAGAGAAGGGGAAGGAAGAATTTTGATAAAAAATTGTGTTTGATTGGAGGAAATAGGAGGAAAGGTTTAATGAAAATATTTTCTCAATTTATCATTATTTGATAGCTTACTTAAAAAAACTAGATACATTTCTAATTATTGTGAATATTACTTATAAGGTCATGAGTCATAATATATGTTTTTTGAATTTTTGATTTTTACTTTTTAAATTTTGAATCTTTGATTTTTGATTTTTTTAATTTTAAATTTTTATTTTAGAATTTTCAATTTTTGAATTTTTGAATTTTCAATTTTTCATTTTTTTTTATAGATTTTTTACTTTTTTAAGTTTGAAATTTTTTAATTTATAATTTTGTAGTTTTATAATCTTTTAATTTTTTAATTCTAAAATTTTTAAATTTTAAGCTTTTATAATTTTATAATTTTATTTTTAAATTTTTAAAATTTTAGATTTTTATTTTAAAAAAAAAATACGTTGATTCCATATTTTTTACTACCTCTGTGGCTCTGTCCCATAAAATTCTTCCCACTTTGACTTGGCACGGAGATTAAGAAAGTGGAAATGTATGGTTGTTGTTATGTAAGAAAAAGGTGAAATGAATGTGAACCACACAAATTGTCCAAAAATAGTAAATGAGAAGAATTTTTTGGGACGGTCCAAAAAGAAAAGTGGGAAGAATTTTATGGGACGGGGGGAGTATATTATAACCTTTGAAATACTCCGATTTGGGGGTTGAGAACAGGAGGAAGTAGAGGATTTTGGAAGCCTTCGACTTTCCTCCTCTTCCCCCATATTTCCTTCAACCAAACACATACAAATCACCCACTTTCGTCTCCTCCCCTCCGAAAACCTCCTACCAAACAGGGTCTAACACATTCTGGGGATCTGACCCTTTAATTTCTTATAGGGGGGTCCAGATGCGCACATCTCTGCCGCCTCTTTTTCGATCTCTTCGTTGGGTCATTTTCCTTTTATCCGGAAGCGTATATAGTACAACCGGCTGTACGGTGTCAGCCGTACAGCCGGTGACAAACTTGTAATTTTGGTGAAAATCACATATTCTCTTTAAATGAGCATTGAATCAATTTTGATGAGCACCGAGCCTCTTCTTTTGAGTATTAGAAGCCTAACGGTGAGCACCAGTGATATCTGCTTCATTCCTCATATATCACTTTCTGTTTATTATTTTTTCGTTTATTAAAAAGTTTTAGTCCAAAATGAACATACATAACTTACAAATTAGTATCAAATAATTAAAAAGTTCATTTGTGTGTGCTCATTCATTTTGGGCGTTATACTCATATGAGTTTAACATAAAACTCATTTCTAATGTGCTCAATATTCATTTGTATATGTTCATTTTGTGTAGGCGTATACTCATTTGAGATCAATAGAAACAAAGATTCCTTAGCAATGAATTAGACTCCTATTGTAATATTATACTTTTGAAATATGAATGAATATGACATTTTAAAATGAGTATTACACTAATATCAAATGAGTATACATAAATTACAAAAAGAGCATTCATAAAACTCATTTGAAATGTCTACTATGCCCATAATTTCATTTATTATGCTCACATCTGAAAAATTACGTGTAATTTAGATTTCTCTAAACTGTGGCCAACGTGAATCTAATGTATTAAAGCACTTTTGAAATATGCATTGATATAACATTTTAAATTGAGCATAATGCCATTACAAAATAAGCATACATTACTTACCAAATGAGCAATGATATAAAAATTATAAGCTTTGTTAGTTGAGCATCAAAACATTTTCATTGAACATCAGACTTGCTCGATTGAGTATCAAAAACATGCAATTGAATATCATGATCTCTGTTCCCATTATATAATCTAACTCTTATGCGGATCTAATGTGATACTTTCGAAATATGCATTAATATGACATTTTAAAATGAGCATAAAACTAGTACGAGAAGAAAATACATAATTTACAAAATGAGTATCGAAAAATTTAAAAGCTCGTTTGAATTATCTAATGTGCTCAAATATTCAATTGTGTATGTTCATTTTTTAGTCGTTATACTCCTTCAAATATAAAATAAACTCCTTTCTATAATATGTACATCTAGTAGATTCGTTATTAACAATTGTGTATGCACATTTATTTTAAGTTATACTCGTTTTTGTATAACACAAAACTCATGTTAGTAGTTCACACACAATATTTAATAAACTAATAAATATTCATTTTAAAATTAAAAATAGAAAAAAACATTATTACCTAAAATACTTTATAATGCACAAATTTAAAAATTTAAATTAGAAGGTTGATTGAGAAAAGAAAAAACAAACTCAAACAATAAGTATACTTGATGGAGTGGATAGACTCGGACTCCGGGTCTCACGACTATTGGGCCCGGACAGTTGCCCACGTACACTCAGCTGATAGCATTTTCATTATTGTACATTATTATTATTCAGGTGCTCTAGATTAGCCTTTTATATTATCAGTCCATTTATGTAACCGGATGACCCATATTAGAGGCCCAGACCCAGATTTCTTCTATATATACTCCTTTTGGAGTTTGTAAACCCTAACTCTAAACTCTCAATTCATACACTCTACTATTCATCTTCTTCTCCACATTATTAAGCTCAATCTCTCCTAATTAATATACTTTGGATACCCTATAATTCATCAATGGTGCTTTAATTGAGTTTTGAGCAAAAATCAAGTGAGAAATCCTCCCAAAAAATTCAAGAAATTTATTCCAAAGTCAAGCCAAAAGTGTTCTGCAAAATCCAAAAGAAGAAGTCTGGAATTTTCGAGATCTGTAATGGAGATGCCAGTGCCGGCCAGAACTGTAAGCCAAGCAGCCACGACAGGAACTTGCCGTTGGAACTCGTTGACCCGTTCACAGATATCGCCAGCCGCGGAATTGACGCCGACCGCAGTTTGCTGAAGCTTGCCGCTGCTCCGCGGAATTGACGCCGACGGCTCAGACCTTGAAGTCTCCTGAGCCAGAGCTATCATCACAGCTCACAATGCCGCCGTGTGAGGAAAAGCTTGTGGCTGCCCCAGATCTCTCCACCAACGTTGAAGCATCGCAGTCAAGATCTCGTGCTTGCCGTTCCAGATCTAGCCTCTCTGGACCTCGCCGGCAGTTGCTCCAGGTCGTAACCGACGCTTTGGCAACACCCCACCTTACCAGAGCAGCTGGATGGGTTCGTTCCGATGACCATACAAAGGGCTCTTCACCAAGCAGCCCCCCGCTGGAAGCCACCCAAGCAGCAGCAGTGCCGAGGAACCCTTTTACACTCTCCGGCGACACTCAGAGATGAAGACCAAGGATATTTCTGGGCCAGCAATGTCCATCCGCGGAGAACGACATAGTCTTAATGCGGAAATGCCATTTGCCCCAATTTCCACCGACAGCAGTGACCGAGGTATCTCCTCGTCTCCCCAGACCGTGACTTATTGATGTTCTTTGCAGAAGGATTGGGTGTATGAGCTTGAGTTGACTCAGTCAACTGTAAATGTGCTTGGGAGTTGTCAGCGTAATGGGCCAGGCCATATGTGGTTCGTTTAAGTATTTAGGGGAGCCCAAATTTCAGCAGCACATCAAATATTTCAGCCCATTCCAAAAAGCTAAGTACTCCTAAATTCCAACCATACAATTGATATGTGTACATATTTGATGAGATGACTTACAAAAAAAATCATAAATTGATTCAAAATGCAAAAAAAAATCATAAATGAAATATTTAATAATATAGCATCAAACTTCAATCTCAAGGGGCGAGTCATCCGTGAAAAGACCCGTATATAGCGTCTAGCGGATCCCAGCTACGAACTTGAGTTACAAGTTGAGCTAGATTATTAATTTACTATCATTATTTTTTTTAATAGTGTATATTTTTTGACATTGAAAAAATGGACTTATGAAATTCCGAGCACTCACGTACACCGGGCGCTTGGAGCACACACACTCGCGCCATCGGGTCATGTCAAACGAGTGTGGATAGTAAGCTCCCAATCCAAATATTATCTAATACACGCTGTAGTTTCTATGTTTTGTATGAGTTATGTGTGCCTTTATGCGGTAGGTTCAGTCCTTTATGCGTGCCACGCTCCAACTAAGCATAGAAACCTAGCTTGAGCTGCAGCTTGGAAATTTGAGGCAACTTAATTTAGGCCCAAATCTAATAGCAAATCATAAGCTCAAGAAATTATAACAATTTTATTTGAATGCATAGGTGCAACTATATGCTGACATCATACCGGCCACTTAGCCGTCTCTCCTGATCATCTTTATTTGATGGCTTGGACTTCTTATAGGCCTCTCGGGCACACGTTTCAATCACTTTATTTAATGACCCGGACATCATATTATGGACGGTCACTTGACCTATCTCTTAGTCGTCTTTATTTGATGACTAGGATTACCTATCATGCGGAGCTACGCACATACGAGGACCAATCTTGGTCATCCCCTTAGCAGATGCCGACGGTTGCAGTTCCACGCCTAGGCCGAAGGGTTCACCCCTTTTTGCTTCATTTTGGGGGCATCCGGTGTACTCTTTTTCCCTCATTAGGATTTTTTCCCACAGGGTTTTTTCCTAATGAGGTTTTTAACGAGGCATCTCCCCAACGTGGACAAAAGGTGTCCACCCTCGGCCCCCTATTGAAGACATCACGCGACACACACTACCCTACTCCTCTTCACCTCACTACATTCACCTCAAGGAGTGAAGGACTGGAAGAGCGGGGGACTTAGCGCCTCAAGGAGGTTCACCTCAAAAGTTTTCACGAAGTGTACTCATCAGATGATAGATCAGCACACAGTTCTACTCCCTTTCACCTCGAGTACTCTCGACTCAGGGAGTGGGGGACTCCTGATGGAGTATATAGACTCGGACTTCAGGTCTCACGACTATTGGGCCCGGACAGCGGCCCACGTACACTCAGCTGATAGCATTTTCATGATTGTACATTATTATTATTCAGGTGTTCTATATTAGCCTTTTATATTATCAGTCCATTTATGTAACCGGATGGCCCATATTAGAGGCCCAGACACAGATTTCTTCTATATATACTCCTTTTGGAGCTTGTAAACCCTAACTCTAAACTCTCAATTCATACACTCTACTATTCATCTTCTTCTCCACATTATTAAGCTCAATCTCTCCTAATTAATATACTTTGGATACCCTATAATTCATCAATACTCGTATTTTATATAATCATAATAATTGAATAAAAAAGTAAAGTAAAAGATTGTTAAAGAAAAAATAAGAAACGAAAAGCAATTTGGGGCGGTTCCCGGTGGAATTTTTCGATGAAATTTTGTGAGCATAGTACACATTAAGTCTAGTTTACTCATACCAAATGTCAGGTAAAAATTCAATCGGGAAGGCATTCAAATAAATTCGTGAAGATAACTGCGCTTTTACCGATCTATGCTATTGACCGATCTTTTCCCTTTTCGGGCTTTGCAAGAGACTGATCTTCCTCTTCATTCATATCGTGTATGTAGCATAGAGTGTGCATGTAATTTACAAACATTACTATCGTATTTAATCAAACAAACATATGCAACTGGACGTCTAACCATATCATGGGAGTGAGCATTGGCTTGTCCTAAAGTATTGTGTTTATGTGCTGAGGGGAATTTCTGGGAACGCTTCCAAATAGCTTCTTCCGATGAGTAAATACTGGTTTCTCCACCTATCCAACAGTCTATATCATAGAAGTTAACTATTTATTAATAACTATAGCTCATTAAACATTCACTTAGAGATGTAGTTGTACATACCTCCTGCATTCCACGACTCTCACCCTCGGGTTGTTCATTATTACCCTCCTTTTTTTTACCACCAAAATCAGTGGGGCAAATGTCGGGAATCATTTGCCGAGTTTTATTAGATAAACAGAATAGTACAAAAAGAGAGGGGGACTAGGCCAAAACCTCTCCAGAAGAAGCATTCTTCTTCAAAATACATAACACAAAGCAATCCAAAGAGAGACATCAATTGAGGGGGCTAGGTCTGACCCAATTGAACAAATAAACCAAGCAAAAATAAAATAACCCTAGCAAAGAAATTAAACTAAACGAAGAGATGGAATGCCGAAAAAATCCATCCAATAGGCCCGTTTTGCAAGAATTGGGAGCTGAGAAGGCCTGTTAAAGGAAATGGGCGGCCCAATTCCCTTCCCTCTTCGTATGACCAAAGACAACCCGTTGCCTAAAAGCGATAAGCCTGATTTCCTGAACAATAGCCATCCATTTCCTTGATATCTTACCTGAAAAATACTCCAACGCCTTGGTCGAATCGGTTTCAACATAGAAGCCTTCATGACCCTTCTCGGCCGCCCAACGGATTGCCACAACAGTAGCCATGACCTCCGCCTCTAAAGCTGAAGACGCTTGAAGAGGGAAGGCGATCGCTCCAGCAAATCCTCCGTCGCGGTTTCTCAGGATAGCACCCCCTTTTGCACAACCTGGTACGTAACTCGCATCAATATTAAGTTTATCTCTGTTCTTGCAATTAAACCATTTAATCACAAGAATATGGGTCTTTTTAAGCTTGTAATTAGAAGGAATAAGATGCTCCTCAAACAAAACCTTTCCAATATAGCGTAGCTTTAAAGAGGATAAAGTAGTAACCCAAGCTTGAGTGTAGATTTTAATCTGATTGATGATTTGTTCAGCAGTAGGAACTTGACCTCCCGACCCCCAAATCTGTTGTGTGTATACCTTCCAAATATGCCAGTAGATTATGCCTGGGATGTGATCTTTAAAGATGTTTACAAGACTCTTAACTCCACCTCTCCTCCACCAAAGTCTAAACTGGCTATAATTAGTCCACGTAGGCTGATAAATATTAAAAACCTCTTTAAAGTATTGTCATACTTGTTTCACCAGATTACATTGAAAAAATAAATGGTGCATAGAATCACTGTCCCTCCTGCAAAGTGGACAGATTGAGGGGTTAAGGACAACATTGAATCTGGCGAGATTATCAGGAGTAGGGATGATTCCTTTTGTAATTTTCCACTGAAGAAGCTGTATTTTCAATTCATGTTTTGATTCCCAATTTTGTTGGTAGTCATAATTAGAAAAGGAAAGTTCCCTGACTTCATTATATGCAGATTTAAGAGTGAACTGACCATCCTCTTCCTCATTCCAGATTAGAGTGCCAGAGGAATCAAGAGTGCATAGGGCTGAGGCATCCTCATGTATAGAACAGATTCTTCTCCAAACAGCTGAATATGAAATCTTAGGTAACATATTTTCCTCTCTATCATATTTAGCTCTCATCAATAGTGTCCATAATGAATCACTAGTCTTCCACTTCCACCACAACTTTAAAGAGAAGGCTTTTTCAATATCAGTAAGGGCTATAATCCCAAGACCCCCTTCCATTGTAGGAAAGCACAATCTAGACCATTTCAACCAATGATGTTTTCTTTTGACACTAGAGCTGCCCCAGAAAAAAGATACCATCATACTGTTTAATACTTTAATAACCTTCTTAGGCAATCTGTCCACTACTAGAAGATGTAAAGGGATTGAACTCATGACATGCTTGATGAGAATTAGCATGCCTCCTTGGGACAGATTCTTTTGTTTCCAAGGAGAAAGCTTTTTCTCAAACAGGGATATAATATTCCCACAGAAATCAAATCTGTTAATTCCTTTATGTAAATTCACCCCTAGATACTTGATGGGAAGGGAGAACAGCTTCATGTCTAAAAGCTCCGTAATTTTAGCTTTCCTGATCTAGGAAGTCTTACCACAAATTATGGAACTTTTAGAATAATTAACAGTCTGACCTGATGATTCTTGATATGAACTCAAAAAGTTTTTAAAATTCATAAGAGATCTAGAATCATCATTTAAGAACACCAACAAATCATCAGCAAAGCCCAAGTGTGAAATTTGAACCCCATGTCTCCCCAGATTAAAAGCTAAGGTTTTATTTTCCCAGTATTCTGCAAATGATTCAGACCCCTAGAAAAAGTCTCTGAGGTAATGATGAAAAGAAAGGGAGATATGGGGTCACCTTGTTTAACCCCCCTAGTAGGTTGAGAAAAGCCATGAGGTGATCCATTAATCAAAACAGACAAATGAGTGGCCTGTAGATTGTTCATGATTAACTGGATAAAATGAGAAGCAAAACCAAACCTGTGAAGAATGGCTGACAAAAATTTCCAAGAAACCTTATCAAAAGCCTTAGCCATATCAAGTTTGATGATTAAGTTACTACCTCTGACGTTCTTATCAATGCAATGGACCATTTCTTGAGCAATCAGGATCTGGTCAGCCTTGTCTCTATCACCCATAAATCCAGCCTGTTCTTTTGAGATAACCTTAGGCATGATAGTTTTCAGTCTAGAGGCCAGAACTTTAGTACAAACCTTATTTGTTAAATTCGACAAACATATGGGCCTGTAATCACTAAAGTAAACTGGTCTGTCATTCTTGGGAATAAGAATTAAAAGAGCACTGGACATCCCTTTAGGAATAGGATGACATAGGAAGAAGTCTTGAACAGCCCTAACCATGTCCATACCAACAATATCCCAGCATTTCCTGAAAAATTTGCCATGAAACCCATCTGGATCTGATGCACTGTCTTGATTAAGATCCCAGACAGCTGCTTTAATTTCCTCTACATTAGGCACTTTGGTAAGCAAAAGATTATCCTCCTGAGTAATCAAATTTGGAATATATTGCAGGATGTCAAAGCTGCAAGGGTCATTCTCTACAGAATACAGGTCTGAGAAGAAGTGAGCTGCTGTGGAGCCAATAAGACCTGGAGAGTCAACCACCTGGCCAAACTGGTTTTTTATAAAAATAATACTTTGTTTTTTCTTCCTGATGTTAACATAGGAATGAAAGAACTTGGTATTGCTGTCACCTTTACCAATCCAGTTAATATGGGCCTTCTGCTTCCAATATTTTTTCTCCAAGTTATATTTTTGAATTAACAATCCTTTTTTGTAAAACTAATCCTCCCTGGTAAGATCACTTGGATTGTCTTCAAATGCCTTTTCAGCTTTCATGACTTCCTCTTCACATTTTTTGATACAATCAAAAATATTGCCAAAAACATCCTTATTCCAAACTTTCAGGTCTTTCTTAAGTTGCTTAAGTTTAAACACCAGACCTCTCATTCCTCCTCCTGAATGAGAGGAAGTCCAACTGGTTCGAACCAAGTCCATAAATGAATTATGCTTTAACCACATGTTTTGGAACTTAAAAGATTTAGGTCCAGTAGTTCCTAGATTAGAGCATTGAATTAACATAGGATTGTGATCAGAAGGTGTTTTCTTAAGCAGAGTAATCTTGATGGTATCAAAACTGTCCAGAAAGAAGTTATTAAATAACACCCTATCAAGCCTTCTCCAAACTCTTCCATTTCTTCTGTTTCCGGTCCAGATGTACTTAGGACCATCATAGGGCAGATCATTCAAATTGCAGGATGCAATACAGCTTGTAAAATCATTCAAGCCATGGATAAGGGGTAAAGAATTACCTTTATGTTCACTGTAACTTGCTATGGCATTAAAGTCTCCACCGACAAACCAAGGATCCTTTAAATTGGAAGAAATAGAGATCAGGCATTCCCACAAGTCTCTTCTGATAGTATAGGTATGACCCCCATAGACTCCTGTGACCCATCCTGAAAAGTTGCCACTATGTACCTTAAAATGCACATATTGGGGATGCCAAGTAATATCAGAAATAGTAAGCAAATTGGGATCCCAAAAAACCCAGATTTTATTGATAGTAGAATAAATAGCCCCTTGCAAACCAAATGCAGATTTATATTTATCAACTTTACTGCAATCCACCATAGGTTCAATAATAATCAGAAGACTTATCCTCCATTGATTTACTAGGGAATGTAATCTGGAACTGGAGGATTCCAGACCCCTAGTGTTCCATATTATGCAATTCATTGAGAATATAGGAAGTGGATTTGCACCTTGGCACTCCTAGTATTCCTCTTAGGTGGTGGGTCCACCAAAGCTTGTTTTTTGCCCCCTCTTTTAGGTACCACAGTGAAGCCTTTGTTGTCTACGTCTTCATTTTGTGAATCTGCTCTACCCTCCTCATTGTTCATTAATAGGAAAATCTGGAACTGCGGTG